TATCTTTATTCATACAAAAATCATAAAATATTACACCAAATAATTCTTAAAAACTATTTGTAAAGTTTTAAACTAATTTTAATGTGTTTTACTTCTTTTAATTTTTATTTTAGTTTGTTTTCTATTATTTAATATTAACTTTCACTAGAGTTTTCCTTCTCAACTATTTTATAAAACCTTGTTTAGCAAATGAACTAAATTTCTATATATTCTTTCTTCCCCACACACATTTTTGTCTCTCATCAACTTACAACTAAATTTTGGAGACAAAAAAAGTGTGCAAAACATAGGTGCAAATGTAGTATGACAAAAAAAAACATTGGAGGATGAAGTTGCAAACCTTTTAGGCACCTCCGATTTGTATGTAATCACCAAAATAAATTCAATAGAAATTTTGGCATGACCTCCCCTCTTTTTTGAAGAAATTTTGAAGCTTGCTCGGGCAGCTGGAGGAGGAAGAAGACATATATATAGGGGTGGGACTTTAGTCCCGGTTGGTAGCACCAACCGGGGCTAAAGATCACCGGGATCATTAGTCCCGGTTGGTATTACCAACCGGGACTAAAGTTAAGATCTTTAGTCTCGGTTGGTAGCACCAACCGGGGCTAAAGATCACCGGGATCAACCGGGACTAAAGTTAAGATCTTTAGTCCCGGTTGGTGCTACCAACCGGGACTAAAGATCCCGGGGGGGCCTGACAGGTCCTGACAGCATTCGAACCGGGACTAAAGATGATCTTTAGTCCCGGTTGGTAACACAAACCGGGACTAAAGATCAAATATGCCCGTTACCCTTTTGAACCGGGACTAAAGATCATCTTTAGCCCCGGTTTTTATTGCATCCGGGACTATTGTGGAAATCGGCCGACCGACGAAAGATGGTTTCTCCACCAGTGTAATGAAGCTTTGAAGAATTATATAACAAACTTATATAAACCATTGGCACCACCGAAGGACAACTCAATCTAGAACGAGGACATTTCTCAAGTGACTGAGTTAGAAAATGAATCTCTTACCGTTCTCCCAAAAAGAGTTACGGGATGTGTGTGACACGTAAAGTAATGAACCCCCTGTATTTGATGATTTCCCCATTGAGTTTTACCAAAAATTTTTTTGGGAAGTAGTTAAGGATATTTTGTTGAATTTATTCAATGAATTTCATGCCGGAGACCTGATGAGAACATCAAACTCCTTTGATACATCAACGTCTCCACAAGTACAACTTCAAGGTCCTATACTCCTATTACCCGTGCTCCTGCACGTCAACTCAACTATCAGGTGAGTTCATTCTTGAGTTCTTGTTTTTCTTGTTTATATCCCGGAGACGCGTGCACTCTTGTCTCAGGAATGATGGGGAGGATCCAACGGGGAGAGGATTCACATGGGGTGGATTCGAACTGCGGGACAGCGCCAACTTCTGATGGCTACCACGACTTCATGCAAACTCCGATTTGAGCGTGCAAGTACTTCATCGAAAGCTTTCAAATGGATCCAGCCCCATGTCCATATTTGATCTGGAGCGGCCGCAATCATCGTTTTACTGCCGTGTACTTTTCTGTCAACGGTGTTGCGTCAACTCATTTGGGCCCAATGGGCTGTGTATCAAGTTGGGCCCATTAGGGGCGCGTCTTAGGGTTAGAGTATGACCCCAACACCCCTGTGGTCGTTCTCCCCCTCTTTTTATACCTTTTGCCGCCGCCAAGAATACTTGGATTTTGTTTAGATCAAAGTATAGCGTCGCTACTTTGACGAGTTAATCCCGTGATCAGTTAGATCGCCGGATTGCTTGTCACTGAACTCCAGTTGTGCTACTTCTACTGATTCAATCCATCACCTTTGATTCGCAAATTGAGTTGTTTGTTTATCTTGATCTTGCTAGTTCTCAATTGCTTGCAGGAACAATTACCCTCATGGTTGGGCTGATCGTGCATTCCGTCGAGATTCACGACCGCCTCTAGAGTTGGTGTAACAATTGCCAAGGTGCAACATCCCTGGATAGTTGTAGTCGGATCGTCAACATCGCTCCATCCAATCGAATTATCCTCTCATCGAAAGATCGGGACACCCTCGCTCACATCAAGACCTCTCATTATTTGGTCTAAACTTTGGGGTGATTATAATACTTCCAAAAGTTAAAAGAGGCTAATTGCATCTAACACATAGACCAATTTATCTATCAAAGTTGCCACAAACAAAATCAATTCGATGGACGACCATACAGTGAGCCCGACAAACTGTTTTTTTGCGTTGGTGAAACATACTTGATAGAGTTGTCTTCATACATGAGACATTTGATGAAATGCATCGAAAGAAACCTGAGTGGGGTAATTTTAAAAAAAATGACTTCAAGAAAACCTATGGTAAAGTTTTTGATAGGAAAATCCTATGATAAAGTTAAATGGCCATTCTTGCTACAAACTTTATGAATGAAAAAGTTCTCGTCGAGATGGATTTTAAGTCTATTATTTTGCAATAAAGTGTACTAATAAAAATCAATGATGATGTCGGTTATTTCTTTCGGATAAAAAAGAAATGCCTTCGATAAGGTCACCTCCTATCTCCAATACTTTTTAATATCATAGCTGACATGCTTGCCGTTCTAATTAAGAGCTAAGGCCAATGGACAGATTGAGAAAGTATTACCATATATAATTGATTGTGGCTTGTCTATTTTATAATACACCGCTTGTTCTTTTCATAGAACATGATCTAGAAAAGGCTCGAAATTTGGAACGTTTTTTTACACGCGCTGTAGGTGTCGTTGACGTAGACTTTGTGCACAGAGTTGTACCGATCCTCGGAGAACGGCTACTGCGTCTGCATATCCTCCATTCCTTCATGAACAGTGACATGACTCTCATCAAAAGACACGAATATTAGAGAATTACCTAATACTATCAAATAATTAAAAGAGATGAGGCTTCGAATCCAAGTTATCTAGCACACCACTTCGCACATCAGATATCTCCCGAGTCCCAAGCGTGATATCCTGCTTAATTAGTTAATTACCATCCAACATTCAGGCTTAGCAATTCATATCAAATTTACTTATATGATTTGTAATATTTTTCACGGAGTTTGTTATAGAAAAGGTTAAATTCGGTGCATGTGCTTCTTGATTCCATAGATTTGATTGGGAATGTTTCGCATAGTATATAGATTTGACGTGAAAACTTGATTCCAGGAACGAAATGGGCCAAGGTAGCCCAGCCTGGTGTACCTCTGGTGAGCACAGTAGATAGAGGTTTTGTTCAGGGAATAAGTTTACTTTAACTCCCTTAACTAGTTGCTTAATTAATTTGATTCGTATCACTCAACCACAGTACCGGATATCTTGATCTCCAATTATTAAAATCGGTGCAATTTGACTCCCTTAGTAGTTTTGAAGGGTGGATTCCCTGACGTGGTGCCTACGTGGTGGTGTTGACCTGGTCTTTATGCAACGTAGCATTGACGTGGCACTTATATGACATTAGAACTAAAAAAATATGTGGAACACATTTGTCATTCACAAAAAATAATTTGTGGGGCCCACATGCCATGCTCTCTCTTCTTCCCTTCTTCCTCCTCCCTCTCTCTTATCTCTCTCTTTCTCTCCCCTTTCTCTTCACCTTCATCTGGCAGCGACGGAAGGGGCTCGAATGGCGGCGGCGGCGGCGGCGGTAGTGGAAACCACCCCACGCCACAGACCTCCAACGAGGCGGCCGCGTTTGCCTCCGACAGGCGCACTGGATTATTCCCAGCCTCGAGCGAGGCCATTCATGGCCTGCGTGAGGTGACGGCGGCTATCGCGGGAGAAGATGAGTGCGTCGAATGCTTGCCTGATTTTAGGGCGGGCGACAAGCTTAGGATGATGTTAGAGTCATATTTGTATCGGGTTCGGTTTCTTAATTATCTCCCGATTTTGTTTCTATATAAAGTTCTTTATATGTTGGAATAACTGAAGAACGAGCAAGGTGGGTGAGGGCTTCGGCGCCGAGGTGACCAAGTCGACGATGCCAAAGTGTGGAGTCGGGAATGGCAAGGGCATATTGGAGTTCAGCTGGGCGGATAAGGTAGAGATCCCTGGAGCTATTGCACCTGACGATCACGTTCCTGGACTAAAAATCCTTCACATCAAGACCATGTTTTTCAAATTCAACGAAAACATCATTATCGTGAGCAAAGCGACCAACGGCAATAAGATTTTAATAATTTCAGGACTAACAAGAGCATGAGGAGGACGACAGGCTTGGGCATTCTGCTCACACAGCAGCAGGATCAACCGGCCGATGAACCAGTTGAAAAGGCTCTATTTTTGTTCCAGTTCACCTGCTGGAAATCCTTACCAGTAAGCAGATACTCCCTTTGTCTTAAGATATAAGCATTTTTAGCTATGAATATAGATAACTGTGTGTCTAGATTTATAGCCAAAAGTTGTTACATTTTGGGACGGAGGTAGTATATGATTTATATGTTCCAGCATTTATCTACCCATGAATGTAAATCTAGAAGCATGTTGCTGTGCTGTGTCGATCTACTCCAGATGAAGTAGTACTCTAAGGCTGCGTTCGTTTGGAGAATAATGGGAGTGAGTTTGTTTCGTATTTCGCGCGCACACTTCCCGAACTAGTAAACCTTGCGTTTTTTGTAAAAATTTTCTATAGGAAAATTGCTTTAAAAAATCATATTAATCCATTTTTGAAGTTTAAAATAGTTAATACTCAATTAATCACATGCTAAGAGCTCACCTCGTTTTGCGTATCTTTCCAATCTTTTCTATCTCATTCTCCTCAAACACAGCCTAAGACATGTTATTTATGTTCTCTACAGAATGTCAAACTATAAGTGCAATGCCATGTTTATTTCAGCTCTCTTTGTTGTGGGGAAATAGCACCAAAAGTCCACAACAGAGATCAAATGTGGGGAGGCGAAATATCCCACAAAAAAGTAGCCACCAGACGAGGCTAATTTACCTCCAGAACGTTAGAAATTAGGGGAGAAAAACTGGAAACAATCGAACACGCACAACATTTTTCTTATACATTTCACTCGACGGCCCGGCCCAAGGTCTGATGATTTGGCCCGGCCCAGGCATAGCACGGCCCGAGTTGGGTCGTGCCCGTGCCAGGGCTGCTACCTCGGCACACTGGCCGGCACGAAGTTCAGCGATGTGAAACAAACTTATTTTCAACCATATGTAAGACAGGGCACAAAGAATAGGGAGGAAAAATAGACGTATCATATAGCACGGCCCAAAGAGTAAGGGAAATAAAATAGACTTATTTTAGCTATATATATGTCACGGAAAAAGTACACCGAAGGTCCCTGAACTTGTCACCGAGATTAAAAAACATACTTGAATCGCAATACCAGACACCCGAGGTCCCCTAACTTTACAAAACCGGACACCCGAGGTCCCTCAGCGGTTTTCAACCCAGTTTTGTCCGAAGCAGCGGCTGAGTCAGCGTGGGACCCACATGGGCCCCACATGTCAGCTGGCCACTTCAGCTTCATACCTCTCCCCCTCTTCTCTCCCTTCCTCCTCTCTCTCTCTCACTCTTGTCTCTATCGGCGGGGGAGCAAGGCGGCTTCGGCAGCGGGAGCAGGAGAGCAAGGCGGCGACGGCGGCGGCCTCCGGTCTCCCCCACCCTCTTCGCTCTGGGCTGAGGCCGCCGTGAGTCAAATCGACGGAAACCCAAATCGGCGGCGGCGGCGACGCGTCGGGGAGGAGCTCGTGGTGGCAGTGGCCGAGGACGGCGAGGTTCCTGTGGGAGATGGCGCACGAGAAGCCCATCCGGTTCACGCCGCGGCAGCTCGCCGGGTTCACGCGCGGCTACTCGGCGCGGCTCGGCGCCGGCGGCTTCGGGACGGTGTACGGCGGCGCGCTCCCCAACGGCCTCGGTGTGGCCGTCAAGGTGCTCCGCAGCGGCATGGGCAGGAGGTCCGAGGAGCAGTTCATGGCGGAGGTGGGCACCATCGGGAGGACGCACCACATCAACCTCGTCAGGCTGTTCGGCTTCTGCTTCGACGCCGCCGTGCGCACGCTGGTGTACGAGTTCATGGGCGACGGCGCGCTTGATGCCTACCTGTTCGACCGGACCCGCGCCGTCGGCGACAGCGACGGCCTCCGGTCTCCCCCGTCCTCTTCGCTCTGGGCTGAGGCCGCCGTGAGTCAAAATCGGCGGAAACCCAAATCGGCGGCGGCAGCAACGCGTCGGGGAGGAGCTCGTGGTGGCAGTGGCCGAGGACGGCGAGGCTGGCGGTGATGTGCGCCTGGTTGCGGCGGAGCGGGCTGCGGAAGACCGCGGCGGAGTGGCCATGGAGGGAGCAGCAGAACGACAAGCAAAAACTCGCCGCGGCAGCGGTGGCGAGGCGATGGAAGGAGGAGAAGTTGGCGGTGGCGGCGGCGAGCTCATGGAAGGCGCGCGAGGAGGAGAACGCATCGGGATCAGTGGCGGCAGGTAGGCTCGCGAGGAAGTGAGCATAGATGGCGGAGGCGGTGCCGGCGGGGGGATTGGAAGGCGGCGGCCGCAAGAAGAGCAGCGGCGAGGCGGGAGCAGGCTGGGGAGAGTGAGAGGCGCGCGACGGTCGGCATGGGGACAGCGCATAGGGAGTGGCGGCGCTCGGCCGGCAAGGGAGATGCCGCCTCCTGCTCCCGCATCGCCGTGCCGCCATGTCCTCCTCCCACGGGCCGCCGCCGTGGATGGGAGTGGTGGCGCTCGGCCTCGTCGTCGTCGTCGGCGCCTCCGAGCAAGGATAGGGCCGCTGCCGCCGCCGTGCTCCCCGATATGGATAGGGCCGCCCCAAGCCCGAGCGCCGCCTCTCCTGCCTCGCCCCGCCGAGCTCCGAGCCGGCCACCGCCCTTCACCACCGGCGTCCTCCTCCTCCTTCGCCGCCGCATCGACGGCTTGCCCCGCTGCTCCCTCCCGGCCGCCTCAGCGACGTCATCCCTGCGAGTGCGAGAGCAGAGCGAGAGGAAGGAAAGAGAAACAGAGAAAGAGAAAGGGGAAAGAGAGGGTGACGTGGATATATGACATGTGGGGCCCACGCTGACTCAGCCGCCACATAGACCAAAACCGGGGTCAAAACCACCGAGGGATTTTGGGTGACCAGTTTTGTATAGTTAGGGGACCTCGGTTGTCTGGTATTGCGGTTCAAGGACGTTTTCGTATCTCGGTGACAAGTTCAGGGACCTCCGGTGTACTTTTTCCTATATGTCACAGCCCAAAAAATAAGGGAGGTTAAATAGACTTATTTCAAAGAAGGCATGATGGGCCGCTTATGCCTTCGGACCGACATGTCACAACCTGACTGCTGGTGGGCCATGCTGGCCCGATGGCCTCGGGCCGTGCTTAGCCCGTGCCTGGGTCAGGACGTGTCGGGCGGGTCTTATGGCCATCTATACGGACAAATATGCAGCTTGTTGGGATACGCGTAGGCTACGATAGCATAAATCAAAATTTTCTATTGCGTAAACCAGGAACCATGCAAGTATTAGATCATAGATCGTTACCACTAGACGCGCTGCGCAGCGGAAGAAGGCGCTAAGAAGTCGAAGGAATTCTCGCGAAGTAGCGCGCGTCGATGTAGAGGAAGTAGTCGATCGCACCGGCTCGACCTTCTCCTCCTCGTGCGTTCTCCTCGCTGTATTCCCACGCCGATCAGCACCGCAAACCAGCGGCGCCTCTACCAGTATCCACACGTACAGGGACGGAACGCCACGCGCAGATGTGCTAGCACCCGCGCGCGACTAGGGTTTTGCTCGGGGAGGGGAATGACAGCTAGGGTTTCTAACGTGATGCAATACCTCCGCCGGTCACACCCCTCACGAATATATATAGGATCCATCACTCGGGCCTCTAAGGCCCATAGGACTCTTATTCGGATCCCTATCCGAATTAAGCTCATATTGGATCTCCATCCAATCCCCTTATTTCGGCCCATTAAGCGTGCGACACTGTAGGTTCATGTACACTCGGCTGTAACCCGAAAACTCCTTTTCGGTCCACGCGTCAACAGCGGCCCCTAGCAGAACGTATTGACTCACCAGGCATACATAAATATCATATCGGCTGAACCTCTAGTGTATACTTGTATGAACCCTTTTGCCTCACGATATCGATTAAGCTCAAGGGTAGATATGTGCCATCCTCTAATAGCTCAATCATTCACTCGAACCTGTTGATAGATTATATAACTTGTGATTGACTCCTCAATCACCATTGGCATAGCCATGCACTTCCATAATCTACAACATCGAGGGGCCCAGAGATATCTCTTCATAGCAGGGGCAAATCCCATCTTAATTATTCATATCCCACTACTTGTTTCATAGCATACCCGAAAACTACTTTTATAACTACCCAATTACGGAGTAGCGTTTAGCAGTCCCTAAGTAAGCTACTACACATGTTGGGAACTATGATAATCTCAGGTTTAAGGATTCAACACCAACACTAAATGAGATCACTGATGACACAACACATATGGCTCTTGCAGTGTCTCATGTTGGGTCTATCCAACAACATGTTCACTAACATGTGTTCACATTATTAATTTGGTATCTCTATACCATGATCCATGAGATATGATCATCAATTAATACATGTGCTGATCATCTAAACATATTTGTTCCACATATGATATTTGATCAGGGATCCTTTAAAAATAAACACAGAGTCTCATGAAAGAATCACATATTCATTAACCAATAATGAGTTTATCTATTTCAAGAAATAAAGTCGGATAAATATATAAACATAGTATGTAATACAATTATCTCTATGATTGCCTCTAGGGCATATCACTAACACAGCTCTGGCGCATCCACTTCCTCAAGCTGCGGGCCATCCTGTCAGACTACGATCGAGACGGGCAGGTGAAGTTGGGGACATATTTAGTGAGGCTGCAAAAATTAGCAAGGCGTAGCCAGGTGAAGTTGGGGACATCAACGGACATGGAAATGGGGATGATCCAGGCAAAATTCCCACGACAATGGGCCAAGAAGAAGAAGAAGAAGAAGAAGAAGCAGACTAAGTCATGCATACAGAAGCTGATGCAGAATTCCAGGTTCCTCCGTGTTGCCAACTTCGACGGCCTTGAGATCGGCAAGAAGCTGCCCTCCGAGGTCACCAAATCCATCAACGCTCGCGTCCCAAACCTCAGGAAGCTGCGGCTCAAGGGGATGATGTTGTCATAGGAATTCATCAAACAACTCGGTGACCTGCAATTCCTTTCCGCGCTCACTCTACGCGGCACTTCTTACACAGTGAGCCAGCTTATCTTCGATCATGGATTTCATAGCCTCACGGAGCTGATGGTGAGCGCGGAGAACCTTGACAGGATCGAAATACATGAGTTGGCACTTCCCAAACTTAAGGATCTGGATGTTGTCGGCCATGGCAATGATTTCCATGTTGAGATCCATGGTCGCCTTGTGAGAGGCATCAAAGGTGAGGATGAGAAACCTTTTAAGATCCTGCATGTAAAGTCAAGGGAGAACAACAAGAATGAAGATTCCATGTCCTGAAGAATGAAGATTAATTGTGTGCTCATGTGCTTGTATTGTGCGCATGCTCCTGATTGCATTCTCCCTCTGTGTGTGTATTGAACTACTGCACGGCACAGTACATGCAACGTAGTTACGTGGAACACCTCACAGCCTCCCCCACAGCTCTCATCAAGTATTTCTTTTACCCACACAAACAATTGTGCAGTCCCACCTTCTAACCCGCATCCTCCACTCACTTTTCCTGCCAGTAATTTGTTTACTGCAACAACCTAAGAGTATATAAACCCATCAACACCCTAACCTAATCAACCATCTCCGTCACTATCCAATCCTCTTCCATTTTTCCCGGATCTGGGGCAACTAGCCGCACCACTTGCCGCCGCTTCGACGCACTACACCGGTGACGGCGGATCGGACCAAGAGAGTGAGAGGGCCTAGATGGCGGTGGTGTTTCATAATGACCTCCACCCCCGCTCCACCTGGATAAGGCATGCCATCGCTGCCAGACCATCATGACAACCCATCATGTGGAAGCAGGAGGAGGTGCACTCGCACGGCGCCAAGGTGGCAACGGGGGTGACGCCCGGGATTGTCACAGCCTGAATTTCGTTTCAGGATTTATAAATTATCTAATAAATTAATAATAGAATTTATATTAAATGTTCTTTAATTTTCAAGTAAAGTTAAATGTGGGAAATAAAATTTTCTAAATTTAAAGCATGGTTGGATTTAATTTTTACTAAATTCTCCATGATTAATTATACTCTCTGAAATTTTTCTCTGATTTTTTTTCAGAGCTCAATTCCTAAATGATACAAAGAACAGTTCAGTAATTAGTAATCAATTAATGATCTAATTATAATTATGTTAAGTGCTTTTCTTGTTTAAAAATCCTTAATTTATAAATTGTTGTCTAAAAGGGAATTATTAGAAATGATCTTAAAAGTCTAGAAGAGAATATCTAATTTTAATTTGTTAAATCTCAATATAAAAGTGGGCTAGATAAAATTTTGTTAAATACTTCTCTTGTTTCTATAGTTCCTAGATTTTTCTGGGATTTATTTGAGCCAAGGAAGTATTTTTAATAAATGGAATTGTATTTCATGAATAATTTAAAGGGAAAAAGGTTTTTAAAAGTCCCTTTTGGTTTTGGGCCGAAAGCCGGCCCAAACCGCTCTCTCTCTCCCTTGGCCCAAGTCGGCCCAAGCCGAGCCACCCGCGCGCGCGTGTGACGCCGCTGACAGGTGGGTCCCACCCGTCAGTCGTCGTCTTCCTCTCGCCGAAACCCTAGCCGAGCTGCGCCGCCGCTGCCATTCCAAATCCGGTCGTCCCTTTCCGTTTCCGGTGAAATTGATTGAGGGGAAAGGATCCCCGTGATCCACTCTACCTTTTCCTTTTTGGAAACATCATATAAATCGCTTTGGAAATCGCCGGATTTGAGTTCGATTCGGATCGATTTCTCTCCTCCGAACCCTAAACCTTCCTTTCCGTCGCCGGTCGCCGTGGGCCTTCGCCGCCGCCTTCCAACCCCTATATAAGGACCCCCAAGCCCGCCGCTACCCGTCGCCACCCTTGCCTTCGTCTCTCGTCGTCCGTAGCGCCCTAGCCCCGTGAGACTTCGCGCCGCCGCCGTCGCCGCCGCTCCAGCCGTGCGCCGCCGTCGCTCCAGTCGTCGCCGTCGCTCGGGGAGGTCGCCATCGTGGTCGCCGTCGCGTCGCCGTCCTCGTCCGCCCCTCCGCCGTCGCTGTCGACCGCCGGAACACCGCCGTCGTCGTCAAGCCGAAGGTCGCCGCCGCTTCTTCCTCGACGCCGTCGCCGTCCGTTGATCTTCCGCTGTTGTTTTGGTCACCGGTGAGTTCGCCGCGTCGCCCTCTACGTGTTGGTTCCCTCCGTTCGCGCTGTCGTGCCGTCGTTCGCCGGCGAGCATGTGCGCCCGAGCCGCCGCCGGTGGTGACGTCGTCGCTGACGTCACCGTCGTCGTCCATCCGTGAGCCGCGGTGGATCCGATCGATCTTGGCCGTCCGTTTTGGATAGGATCGATCTCGGCCATTCGTTTCCGTGAGCCGCCGCCGTGCACCCGGTCCACCGCGAACCCTAGCCGCTGACGCAATAGTTCCCTTTTCCTTTTCAGAAATAATTCATTATTGCGTCATAATTCAATTAAAACCCATATAAGTGTTTTAATCCGATTTAATCTTTAAAAATTCATAACTAATTCATCTTAGCTCGGATTTAGTTGGTTCAAGTCTCTAAATTTTTCTAAAATTGAGATCTACATGTTAAAAATATCCACATGTACTGTTCATGCTTGTTTATGTGCTGTTTTGGTGTTTTGCTCCTTTCTGTTTAGATTCCGACGTCTCCGGAGAGTCCGTTTTCGCAGGAGAAGAATTTGAAGAGTTCCAAGGCCAGCTAGGCAAGTCACACAGATCCCAAACACAGTTCCTTTGAGCATATTGATCCTATATTTAAATTCTCTATTTATTTCAACTCTGCATTTATTTTCGAATGTCACTGGGTGGTGTGAATCTATTCCTTTGTTATGGCATGTTTGCATTGATTATTCTATTCCTTGATACCTTGGGATATTATAATTTGACTAGTTGAGCTTTATATATATTAGTTCAGCTAGATGTTAGACATAATTGCTTAGCTATGCTTAGAAACATTAGCACACAATCGGGATAACTTATGACTCACTATTATTTAATGATGGCTTAATGATAGTTCACGATGGTCAATCGTGATTGGTTAATTAATTAAATTGCCAACTAAAACTTGATAATGGTGGGTTGTGAGCACATGGTTTTGAGTGTCGTGCTCATGACAATTAAGGACCGGTTCACGATTTTCGGTTGTGAAACATTAACCGTGCCAACCACAAGCCAGCGTGGGCAACGGCTTTACCTTTTGTATAGCATGGTTCATTGCGGAGCACCAGACTGAGAAGTGGTGGAGATAAGCCCACGGGGGTCGCTGGGGAGTCCATACCTTGTTTATAAGGGGGTGACTATGATCTGGGAACGGTGCACTGTGGTGGATTGTGTTGTGCGAGGGGTACTGTCACAGCTCCTTTCCGATGTACCGTGGTGGTATTGAGGCACATGGTGACATGTTGTGGGGCTGTGTCTTGTGGGTACAGTGGTACACCTCTGGCCAGAGTAAAACTATTCGAATAGCCGTGCCCGCGGTTATGGGCGGGTCTAACAATGTCTTTCGTGATTAGTTTCACACTTCTCACCATAATAAAAGATGCTATAACTGGTAGTAATTTGTTTAGCTCCTGGTTTGGAATGGTATATTCCTGGTTTGGAGATAGATCTGTACAGCCGGGTATGGTTGTTCAGGATGGTTGGGCCTGAGCAGCATGGGTGTGCTGTTTAGTGTTGATTAAAATTGATGATTAATTACTGTACTGTTTTATAATTCTCAAATGTTTGCTAAATGCTGCTTTTGCAAATGAGCCCTATATTATGCCATTCTTTGGTATCCTTGTGCACTTGCATATTTGCTGCGTGGCTTGCTGAGTATGTCATATGCTCACCTTGCAATAATCAATCAAACCTCAGTTGAAGACAAGTTGCGAAGGAGAAGTCGTTTGGCTTATACCCCAGTTGAGCTGCCTGTGGGAGTGGAGCCGGAGCTTCGCTAGACCGTAATTCCGCTGCTGTTTTCTTTTCTTTTGTAAGTATGTAACGTTATTATTATGATGGATTTGTATATTAAATTGTCAGTTTGTGTACCTCGGCTGATTCCTGGACGAGGATTTTATGCACAAATAAGTTAGGAAATTACTAGTGAATTTCTGGGCGTGACAGGGATCTTGTGTCGCGGTGCACCAGGAGGGACATATGACGGCGGCAATCAGGACCAGACACTTGCCAGTGTTTATGTTACCCTGATTTGGCTACAAAGTCACGTATCTGTATCAGATACGACAACGGATATATGTCGGATACGCTCCAATATCCGTACGTATCCCACATATTGCTGATTTAAAAAAAAGCAAAATAAATCGAGATACGCTAGTGATATGTCCTGATACGGCCACGGCCCGCCTCTGCACTTCACTCGCTACCGGGATGCGCCGCCTCATGCGCTCCCAACCTGATGCCTCTAGCGTGTGCCTGGCTTTGCCGCCAGACACCGGCTGCAGCCGTGTCGCCGCCATTCGCGGGAACACAGCTCCCCCTCCGCAAGATGACAAAGACGTCGCTTGTGCTCCTATTTATGGTTAATTATTATTTTAGTGGTATGCGATGTATCTGCTAATATCAAGGTGCCTGTACGTAGTAGGTGGCGTACCCATTGATTAGCGAGACGCCCACAGTGACTCTACCTAGTATTTCGAAGATGTTCACAGGAGTTCACACACTCAAAGTTCTCAAAAAAAAAAAGTTCACACCCTCAACCTTTGAGATCAAAGGCAAAGTTTGTCGTTGCTTTCATCCACACCCTGCATCCTTCGATCAACTGTTAAATGCTTTAGGTTCCTAGCTACCAGCAAAAAGTCAATAAAACAAACTCTACCAGCAAAAAGTCAAGAAAACAAACTCAACCAGCAAAGCATGAAAAAAAAGTAAGAACTAGCAACATATCCTTCGCTTTTTGGAACCATTTGGTATCCATTCATTCAGGAAAACAATTCCATTGTATAAGACTATATTACTTTTGTTGTTTTGTAAAAAGAAAAAAAAAGAGACACAGCTAATCTTGAGAAAAGCTATATGGAAAAAAGTCCTAGAGAATTTTTATATACCCTAATTTTACATGATATGAGTAAATACAGATTTTCTATGAGTTTCATCTAATTAAACCAAATGGTAGCAGGAAGTTTTTGTGAGGATTTTTTAGTACTGTAGCAATACTAATCAATCGATGTCCTTTAAATTTGTCCAGCACAACTGATTTTATCATTAATTTGGTTGCTAATCATTCTTGAAGTGGGCAAAAGAAGGATGTGAGCTCATTCGTAGATGCGGGATGTGTGTTGGAAATATGGTCACAAGTCGGCATATTTTAATCTAAAATATTAAAACAATAAATATGACATTTGCAGTGTGTGGTGGTCTAGTGATAGTACTGAACGTAAACATGAGCATGCGTAGGATAATATAAGCATAAATAGAATGAACAGTCACATAGGATTGGAATCCTATGGATACGTAAACTAGCAGTACCAACGTAAACTGCAGAAACGTAAACAGCAACAACACATACGTAAACTGCAACAACAACAACTAGAAGAAACATTATAACTTGAGAATGGCCCTCCACTAGTATTTGAGGCAGTATTGCCTCCTCCATTGGTGTTGACGGGAGCCTCCTTCTCCTTGTCTCCAGTGTTGTTGTCGTCGCCGGTGTTCGACATGTTGGCGTAGACGATGCAGAGGAAGACGAACCGGAGCGAAAGACATTCATGCCGATGATGAACAGATGAAGAAGCGCGAGAAGCACTTCCCAAAAACCTGATCACCCGCCTACCTGTGCAGATACTTAGGCGAGGGTGTGGTTCCGGAGGCCCTGTTCGTCCCAATCACTTGTGCGCGCAAGAGATCAGGACCGGGGAGAACCGAAGCAGCATAGGAATAGAAGGGGATGAACCAACGATGGAAAAATAAGCGTAGAAGTAAACCAAACCGAAAGTAGAGTAAGCCAGATCAAGATCAGAGATCAATCTTCTCTCGTCTATCTCTGTCATCCTTATTAGTGCGTAGGAAGGGAGAGATGAATCCCGATTGCTTTTGCTTCTGTTACCGCAGTAACAAGATACTTAGGCGAGGGTGTGGTTCCGGAGGCCCTGTTCGTCCCAATCACTTGTGCGCGCAAGAGATCAGGACCGGGGAGAACCGAAGCAGCATAGGAATAGAAGGGGATGAACCAACGATGGAAAAATAAGCGTAGAAGTAAACCAAACCGAAAGTAGAGTAAGCCAGATCAAGATCAGAGATCAATCTTCTCTCGTCTATCTCTGTCATCCTTATTAGTGCGTAGGAAGGGAGAGATGAATCCCGATTGCTTTTGCTTCTGTTACCGCAGTAACAATGTAATCAATCGAGGAATTGATTCGCTTGCCGTTACGTTACAGGAATTATTGGGATTCAATTCTCAACCGTTGCAAAACTTGAGAGAGAGAGAGAGCAGCCGCCTCGCCCACGCCCTCGGCCCGGCCGGCTCGGCGCGCACGTGTGGCTGTCCGTCCCCCACCTCAACCGGTCAGCAGAGAATCTTCAATAACTCTCTATTTATATTGAGATACTCCACTTTTAATCTCCAATGTGGTATTATTATCTCTAACATTTATTGTGGGCCCTTGAGATTTTAATTGAATTAAATTGGGCCTAGTCCATTTATTCCAACAATGTGCATGTATGTATTCATAAGATTAAGCTTACGCGTGTGAAGTGTTAACAGGGATAGTGTGTGTTTGTAGAGGTTAGGCTCCCATCAGTTGCCTATATTTACTAATAAGCCAAAACGACTTATTATGAAATAAAAATTAATTTATAGCCAAGTCAATGCTTAAAAAAGAAATTACATTGAAAATATTTTAAAATCTTCTTCAAAACTGAGTTTGAAAATTCAAATTTAGGCTTTAGGTTATTTGAGCAACCAATGGGGCTCGTGGCCTAAAAAAAACGCAATTGCCAAAAAAGAAAAACTGTCTGAGAAGAAAAAAAACAAAAAGAAAAACCAGCAGAAGGCACGCGAGCCCTGTCCATAGACCACGCTTTCATCCCCACCTTGTCTCCCACACAAATGTCGCCGGCGCGGCGCCTCGCCGTGCTCCGCTCCCACCTCCAGCCCGCCGCCCCTGCCGGCGAAGGCGACCGGGACGTCGTCGTGTGCGCGGAGCAAGCCGCGGGGGTCTCGACCTCCCCTTGCTCCGCCGCCGCCGCCGGGGGCGGGCGGGAAGCCGAGGGGAAGAGCTGCGTGTTCTGCCGGATCATCCGCGGCGAGGCGCCGGCCTTCAAGGTTCGGTCGTTCTAGTCCCCCTCGCCTTAGCTCCCGCTCCCCCCGCGAGTAGTAGTGCTCTTCTTCCGCTGAGAATTTGGGGGTGAATAGAAATCGCAACCGCACATATTTTTTTTATAATTATTATTTTCTGGTTCGTAATTGCATTGCGTCTCTTGGCGCATAATTCTAGTTGATTTGGTCGGCTTAGTGATTTCTTCTCTAACTTTAAGGAGTCTAGTGTATGATTGCAAAAAACCCTGACTCGGGGGGTTATTTGATTCAGCAACAGTGACAAGTGCTTAAATTTCAGGTGCGTTATAATTAAACGAGCAGCCATTAATTCTGGAAGTCATAGGAGTAACACATAAGCTGCTGTTTATTTATTTTTTGGATAATGTCTATGCTATTGTTACCATCTTGTGTCACCAGCTATTATCCACAGCTTTAATTCGTCATCAAGTTTTCTGTTATTTTGAAACCGTGCTTCGAGGTTCCTGGCGCTCATAGCTTTCCACTGAGCCCTTAAAGTCGATAAACCTCCAATTGGGTCGTCAGTCTACTCCTTTGTAGAATTTGTTTTGATTCTGTTGACTGGCTGGCCCTTTGAAGGAATTCGTGCTGATTAGAGGTTGCAAATTTCTTGAGATAGTCTTTAGAATCGCGGCCTCAGATAACATTCACTTTTGGAACTTGCTGGTCTAGATTCATCTGAACTTGAGTGCAGACAAGATATTTGAATAAATGCACTTTACACTCCTGAAATTGAGTGCAGACAATATTTGAGGTTGCCCCCTGTGCACTGTCGGGTCATATTGTTGTGTCAGTTGATCGTTGATCTTTGGATCCATTTAGTGAAATTGAATTAAAGGTACTGAGGATCGATGCTTCATGAAATGAATTGTCGCGTGTTTTTTTAGTATAACCTAAAACCATTATTATTTCATTTCAAAACGCGCTGAAGGTAATGTCTCCATGAAAAGCAGTAGGGGCAGGAGAAAGCAAGAGTAATAGTGAGGGGGAGAACCAGAACTGGAATCTATAAGTGCACTAGTGGACTGGTGGATGTTATTCAGAAGTTATTATGTTTTCGCAATATATGTTCAGATTCTGTAACTAGACAAGCAACTGATACTTTGGAGAGATCGATGAGCTCAGTGACACTGAAAAATATTTTTGAGCTTTGTTGTATATGGGAACTTTACAACTGTCAAATGAGTTGCTTATCGGTGTTTTAGTGTTCATATTTGTCTTTCTTACTACATGGAGGTGCTCAGCATGAAGGAGACTTTAAATTCGTTACTTAAAAAAATACATTAGTTGATGAAATATTTACACATTTTTGAAATGTTGAATGTCTATTTCCTTTTATCAGCCTTATTTGTTATTTGCAGGTCTATGAAGATGATGTATGCCTGTGCATATTGGATTCTCATCCATTGGCGCCTGGGTAAATTGCTTCTCTATCTTCTCCATATTGTCACTGTATTGTACTGTTGTACGATTGGTAGGGAGGATTTCTATCTGGATCAAAATCCTCTACTGTGTTAGCTTCCCACAAGTTCTGGCAGAAGGGAGAGAGATATATTGGATTCAGTGGCTAAGTTAGTTATCAAGAAGAAGAACTTCATCAGAGGATGACATGTGGGTTCTTAGTATTTCTTTTAATATAAAAAAAACTATTTGCTGATTTACAAACTAACAAAGTTGTATCTATGTGCCATCCTTGTCAGCATAGCATGAGCACATAGGTGCCATATCAGCCTAAATTGGTTTTGCGTATGATGAATGGGTGTTTTCCTTTGGCTTTGAGAACTCGAGGATATCAAATGCTTGATTTCGGAATTGAATTTGAGGATTGGTCCGGATTTATAAAAAAAAATTGACAGGTGTAAACTGAAGTATCGTTAATTAATTGGCACCCCTTTTGCTTATTTTTGTGATAATACTGCATCATGTTCAATATATTGAATAAAAGAGTCTTTACCTTTTCTCGTTACTTCATCCTAGCTTTTTACTCCATGGTATCTTGTTAACATTTTTTCCCTCTACAGGCATTCCTTGATTATTCCAAAATGCCATTTTCCATCACTGGAAGCAACACCACCACATGTAAGCCATCTGTCACTGTTGGCACATTCCCTTTGTTTGGACTTGAATTTGTAGATTGGTGAGCATTTCTAAGAGATTCTGTGCATTTTGTCACTCTATGCTTCCATTCAAGATAATTAATGGATATGAATGCACATGAGCTTGCAGTATCCAAATGAATAAGTGGTTCAATATGCCATTTACAAATTGGCTTTCTGTTAAATCAATCATAATGGTACAAGCTGGTCAACAATCAAGTAATCAACATTGCATTACTTTGTGAAGTATGAACAATGCAAAATTTGTAGTTATTTATATAACTGATTAGTATAATGTATACAGTAATAATCAGCTGTGGTGTAGCACAAAGGCCTTCAAGAAACCCACATTTTTGCATCATAGAAGCACTGTCCAATATCCTCTGCCCATTAACCTAAGCAAACCATAGTCATCACAGATGTAAGCCACAACTAGCAAATATGCAGCTTTAGTTGGTACTTTATTCATTTCTTAAGGTATGCCCATCTCGTTTGTAAATGGACACATTCAAGCACATGCTGAATTAGGCAAACGATACCTAGTGATATATAAGTCGAACATTTATGTAAGGACCATGAGCATTGGAAAAGGTTCACCTAGCACCCTCAACTGCAAAACTAGGCACTGAACACACTCAAAGCATACAAAACTGGCTCACTACACCATATGGTGTCTCTAGGGAGCACTTTTGATAACATGTATCCAACTCAAGGCGGTTTACGCTATTAGCAGCCATATTGTTGTTTTTTGTTGAGGAGACCGACCCAACTAAAGGTTGTTCATCTCTCTTCTCCTCTAGCACTCTCTAGCTGTGCATTATATTCTTTATTTTGTCTATCTTCATCTTATTTGGACGCAGTTCAAGTTTTGGGCTTAAATAAGATGAAGATTTAAGCAATTTTATATTGCATGGTTAGGTGGACTTTTTGTAAAGTTCATGGGTGTGAAATGTACTTAAATCATACGTAGTATATATTACTCCTATATATACTGTTGAGTACTTATTGGTGTGTCATGTCTCATGTCAAACTAATTCCTCCTGTTCTTTGGTCATCTGGCCATCTTCCAAACAAAATATTGCATGCTAATAGTTGCGAGAAACATGGCTAATCATTTACTCCCAACATCGTTGAAAATGTTTCAAGTCATTGTCTTGTTTTTGAGCCAGGTAGTAGCAGCCATGTGTTCCAAAGTGCCATTTCTTAGTAATGCAATTATGAAGGCTACTCAATGTGGTAGGTAAACTTTGCCACAATATTTTGTTAATTGCTGTGACAAATGATTTCTAATTTTGTTCACATAATAACGTGACACTATTTATCCCATAAGTATCCTGCATTTAGACGGAAATGCATTCATCTTAATGTTTTTTTTTTTTTTGGTTTTTGCATTTGTCTGAATGTTATTTTTCGTTTTAGCATTGTGAATCTCAATAACCAATCTCTTGTGCATAGATTAGATCTGCATTATTTTTTTTAGGCTCTATTGGATCGTCCTGTTCATTCAAGATTAGCAGTACTACAATCTTATACCTCCACTTCTTTATTTTCTTGAAAAAAATTGGAGAACACTTCCACTACCATTGTGGAACCCAAAGATGTGCCCTGTGCCCTTTGTCCTCTTTCTTCAGTACCTGCTAACTAAAATTCTTGGCTGCTTTAATGAATTACATGGAAAAGGTTGCCTGTCTAAATAATTTGCAAAATCGGCAGTTAGGTCAGATATTTTAGGACTCAAGTTTTTAGGGCAATATGTTTAGTTTACTTGTCACTGCACAAGAAACAATATTTTTAAAAGTTCATAGTAGTAAATTTCTACAGTCTACCTGTTATTCTGTTGAGTTGCTAGATCTTTCTGGAATTCTGGTCATTCTTTTGCTGTTATGCACCCACAACTTTTATTATCTATTTGCACAGATAGGCGAATAGTTGTTTGTTTTTTCTCTAGGAATCTATAGATTGGCCAGGATTCAATATGCTCTGAGGACTAATATGATCATACATAGTAATTTTGAATTACTGTACTGCCCCTTTGGTTCCAAATATAAGTCATTTTAACTTCTCAAACACTTCCCCAAATACAAGTCGTTTGAAACTTCTAGGTACTTGTTGTTCTTTTCTTCAATGTTTGCCCTTACCAAACAAATGATATCACTTTCACAAATGAATGGCTTGTCTTTTTCAACTCAGTATAAATGAAAGGCAACAAAGTCATTTGAATTGTTTCCTTAAGTCTAAAATGACTTATTTCTGGAATCACAGAAGTATTCTCCTTGGATTTTGAAGGAACATTTTGATTCTTTCGAGTGTTACTTGTCCCATTAGTCCATATTGACCATTTCTCTTCCATTTGCTTATTTGCCTACATGGCTGCATCTTTGCTACCTGTAGCCACCAACTAAGGCACAATCCAACCCAACAGCAAATGCATGTGTGTTCAGTTTTTTTTAATCTGTGTTAATAAGAAATGGATGGACATATGAGCTGATGAGAAGCCTAAATTTATTCTCAGTTACCAATATATTTGAATGACGCAGCTGTTTCATTCAATCTCTGCTTTGGTTTGGTTGATTGATCAAAATCAGGAATACATTCATACGATCCCTCCTACACTTTATCTAATTTATAATATTGACAGATTACTTTGATTTGGTTACCTTGGATTACAGATTCATTTAACATGGTGGTTAATAATGGAGCAGCTGCAGGACAAGTTATTTTCCATGTAAGCAATAACATAAACTTAACAAATAGCCCATCAATATTCTGCATACGGTACACTTCTTTGGGAGTGTTGTACACACCTTCCTTTATAAATTTTGAATGATCACATGAGTGTTAACATGGTCACACAATGGTTCCTTGTACACTTGAATTCAATTTGATATGGAGTTTAGTGTCAACTCTAAAATTGTAACTAGTTTTCTAGTTCATTTATGAGACATGTAAGTTGCTTACATTTACAAAACAGAAGGTGATCTCTTAAAGGTGGATTCAGATACTTACAAAAGTGCTTCTCATGAACTTATATGAATTTGTAATAATCCTGGCCATGTTTTGTGCTATTATTGCAGACCCATTTCCACATAATTCCTCGAAGATCTGGCGACAAGTTGTGGCCTACAGAGGTAATAAGATTTGATGTGTAGAATGCATGTGTATTTTTGCCACAAACAGTGTTCTGATCGCCTCAAAGAGAAATAACATCTACTGGTATTCTTCATCATGGTTTATGAACCAAAACCACAGAGTTTGAGAAGGCGCTCCATCGAGCCTAACGAAACTCCAGGCCTTGTTAGCTGCATCAAAGAGCAGCTCTATTCTTCACCAGAAGGCTGTAAAGCCGAACCACCATCTTCACTGCCCAAGGAACGGTGACACCAAAGCTGTGATCCAGTCCGGTACATAATGCTCCTCAGTTGCATATTGAAATCAAATTGCCCCATTTGGGAGTGTGGGATTCAGTTTCAGAGTTGGAGGGTGTATGGTAATTTATCCTTGGGCGTTGTTGTACTTGTAATAGTTTCTCATAGGTCTGCAACTGTATCTGGTGTATAAATCAGACAACAAGGACTCAGTACAGCATTGTTATGCCCTGCTGTCGGGTGTCTGCCTGTCTGGTTTCCTCACTTTCTGGAGTGGGGCTGAAATCCAACAGCCATGTTGTACTGTGTTTGGCACTTTGGCTGGTAGTGGATGATAGCCATGGCGAAGCTGAAGATTTGTGGACAGAGCATGGGGTTGTGTTGGGTTTGATGCGTGGAAGTGTGTTTGGACTCTCACACGGCAGCGGCCACGCGGATTTTGTTGTGGGCTCGATCTGCTTCTCCAGTTGTGATGCGCAGCATCATTTCACTTATGTTTATAGGTACGATTCATCGTATGAGTATATCTATTCTTCATACGACTCTTGCATATACTTATGTTTATCCTTGCGAGTGCATTCTGATTCTCAATTGTCAGGTTATGAGGCTAGTACCGCATAAGTTTATCTTTCACCTATATGGCACATACCAATTAAAACAAAAACTAGAATACCCTTACTTAATCAAATCCCAATATAACCATTTTTCATTTTATTTATTCTCAATATAATTATTTTATACTTTCATTAACTCCAATGTAATGATTACTTTAAAACTAAACTTAATAGTAACTAAAAAGAAATTTATTATGGGACGAAGAAAGTAACTTAAGATTTAGTATTTCACATTTGTCATCCAAAAAGGTTAGAGCCCAACCAAACGCTAGCGGATCCGAAGCTTTCTAGAGCTGCCTACCGGAACGCTTGATCAAGCGCCAAATTTTCACTGCCAAGAGAGTGAGAAACGCGTCTGCTCTTTTTTTACCAAGTGGTTGGAGTTAGAGCAAGTTTAATTGTATAGCCAACTATTAGCTCCAATATATTTATAGTTAATTTAATAGCCAATTCATACAACAGTTACATGCTCCCTCCGGGTTGATAATACTTGTCGTTTTGGACAAGGACACGGTCTAAAAAAACAACTTTGACCATTATTTTTCATTATAATATGTATAAAAATGTTAACAAATATATGCTTTTATTAAAGTACCTTTTAAGACTAATCTATACGTGTAGTCACCGTATTTGAAAGATAAATATTTCAAATTTGATTCACAATCAAAGATTCTAAAGTTGGATCTCACCCTTGTCCAAAACGACAAGTATTATTAGCCCGGAGGGAGTATTACACTATCAATACCTGGTCTCACCTGTCTTACACACATTGCGTCTTGGAGTCCGTGCTGTAGCTGGCTACAAATTTATAGCCCGCTGCTTTTCTTTCTCCTCTTTTATTTTCTTAAAATATGTTTATAGCTAGCTTATAGCCTGCTATTGTACTAGCTATTAGGGCATCCACAATGTACTTCAAAACCAGTCCATAGCCAATAAAATAATACATTTAGCTATCTAACCACATTGTTGAAGTAGTCCATAGGAGAGAAATAACAAAAGTCATCCATAAGCATATGGGCTACCCATACAGAATAAAATATGTCATTTGTCTCTATTTCCTCTCTCCTCCTCATACTACTTACTAACCATATACATTGTGAATGTTGCAATAGTTAAAGTCCACAAATGTGGGTCCCATCTATATGGACTACTTTAGCTATATATATTGGTGTTGCCTTAAAGACGACTTAGATTACCGAGGTAAGTACTCTAGAAGTAGCATTAAATTTTTATTACTGTGGCAGGAGCAAGTGGAAACATAAGAAGGCAGGGTCGTAGGGATTCCTGGGCGACGGCCGGCTGCATGTGTAATGTGATTCACTTTCACCGCGTCTCTGCTTCCTGATTGTTTACCTGACGGTCAAACTTTCTTGCAAGTTGCATCAACCAGCGCATTCACAACCCGAAGTGAAAATACTCTCCCATCCCAATTTAATCATCTGAGATTTTGAATATTCATCTAAAGATGTAGTGTCTCGTACAAATATTAAATGTGCATCGTGAGATACATCTATACAATCAATCAAGATTAATTTCTATTTATTCAACCCAAACAATATTTAAAATATGAATTAATTTTTACTACTCCCTCCATCCAAAAGTCTTAGAGAAGGTACATTAGGAGACTATAGGTCAGCTATAAACACATGTCGAGAAGATAAAAGAGGAGAGAAGAGGAACGTGATACAGATTTGTAACCAGCTGCAACACGGACTACTCTAAAACACAATGTGTATATGATAGGTGGGACCATATATTAATAATATAGTAGTATATGTTTATAGGTAATTATTGTATGAATTGACTATTAAATTATTTGGAGCTAGTAGTTAACTATACGATTAAACGCCCTTAGACATATTTCTTTTTTCATCAAGATCAATGAGTAACTAACTCATCCAACAGGTGACAAAACCAATAAACTATACATATGCATGCAACCAAAAACCAATAAACTATACATATGCATGCAACCAACAAGTATTAATTTCTTCGATTCCGGTTAACAATTTAATTTAGAAATAAGACATAGACTTTTGAAAAAAAATATATCTTAAACTTTTGGATGTAGAAAGTATCAGATATGAAATATATCAGATATGAAATGATGGAGCACCTTGATCGATAAGAATTAATTTCAGAATAATGTATGTTTTAATGTTTTTTATCTTGGTGTTATTTGTTTAAGGGATGAACAAATTAAAATGGAAGGAGTATGTTTTATTACTGGTAAAACTTTTTCTTGTACGGAGCAGCCAGCCTTTCTTGTACGGAGTAGCCAGCCAAACATTTCTATAGAGATGACTATGGAATCGAGCCCAAAATTATTTAGGGCACTACACTATAAAAAATAGCTTTTTCTAGCAGCTAAAATAGAATTTTGCTGGCGGCTAGGCTAACCGCCAGCAACCAAAGGCTCGAGAAAATACACTATCTTTACATGCGGGCTTCATTCGTGGACCGCCAGCGAAAATCAACTTTTATAGGTGACAAGATTAAGTTAACCGCCAGCGAAAATGATTTTCCAGGGAAAAAATAAATCCCCAGAATCCCTTTCTACCATCTCATCTAGGAAATTGTCAAAAAAAATGAAAATAAACATGAACATCATTCAAGCATCAATCCAACAACAGAGCATCACAAACATCAATATTAGTCTCATCGCCATAAGAAACAACAGTAGCGTCATCAACAACAGTAGAGTAACATCAACAGAACATGAATCTGACGACCGCCGGTGTCGTCATACTTGAGGTTGTTGTTGTGATCACTGTGGACTTGGAGTTGTCGTCGTCGGACTTGAGCATCACCAGCGCCGTGCCCCATCATGCGCTCGAGGTCCCGAGAACCGCCAACACCGGATCCGCCTCTCCCGAGCACCGCTAGCAACGGATCAGCCTCTCCGCAATTCCCCACCCTCTCGAACACTGTCGTCGCCTAAGCGAGCCGCCTCACCGCCACAATCCCTCCCCTTTGCCGACACTGCCTACGCGAGCCGTCGCCGGTAGGGAGGAAGGAGGAGGTGCCGGATCCGCCTATCCGCAGTTCCCTCGCCCCCTCCCCCCCAAAGCACCGTCGCCAGAGCCATCGTCGCTGCAGGTAGGGAGGGAGGAGGAAAGGGTGCTACGGTGGGTGGATCTGGAGGGAGGAGAAGGAGAAGGAAAAGGAGGAGGAACAGTGGGTGGCATGTTTTCAATGCGCGGTAAATTTTTTTTAATGTGTGGTGATTTTTTTTTCAAGGGCGGTACTCTTTGTGAAATCATTATCATGATTAATATTTGTGATGAACAATTGGCTTTGCAAAATGATTTAGTAGCTGCAAACGAAAATTCAATTATCACTGGCTGTCACTTAAGAGACTGGATTGCACAAATACCTCTATTTTGTAAGCGGGTCTATTAAGTGACAACCAATGAAAATTGATTTTCGTTGATCGTTGGTAGCAGAAATCTCTCTTAATTATCTTTACAAGGGTGTGTTTGTTAAATCCGTTAGTTAAAATGAAAGGATGGTGCTGTGAAAAGAGGTTTTTTTATAGTGTAAATATTTTAGCATGTCGATCTAAATACATCTTATAAGACTTTTAAAAAGTTCCGTCCTTCCTCTTTTAGTAATTTGGTTCAATCAAATGATCGATGGATATAAACATAGTCACTATAAAGAGCTGAAGACAATGATGTGAACTTATGCCACTACTAGAAAAAGCATTTTCGGTGACGTAGGGGTTTTATTTTCGCCGGCGGGCATGACCATCGGAGCGAAAACCCCGCCAGCAAAGACGATAACCGGGGAGGAGTTGGCGGTCCGCCTGCGATAATGGCACTATAAAGTCATCTTCCTCCCCGAGCCCTATTCATTCTATTTGGTGTTTCTCTCTCTTAAAGGGACTTAAATACAGGGGGAGGTTTTGAACTTCAAATCTTCGAGGGATTTTTCTACGGTGGTTAGATCTACTCCTTTCCACCCTAGGTATGCATTTTTTTAGGCTTTTAGACCTTAATTTGTGATGGATCTATGTATGCAAAATTGTGAAGGAAAAGCTCCATGTTTTTTTATTTACTTTCTTTTGATATGTTGATGTTAGATATATGTGTAATACTTGATGACTCTTGTTGTAGTGGTTTAATGTGGTAACATAAATTTTCAATTTTTTTTATTTTGCTATCACATCCACCTCCTAGATCTAGATCTAGATCTAGACATATATATGAGAGAGAAGAAAATTGTTTATGTCTATTTATTTGGTTTATTAAAAAAAATGTATTATTTTTAATATGCCGATGATATGATTTTGTTAGATTTTCCTATTATACTAATTTGGTATGTCTGTATAAACCAAATTAAAATAATCTTTGGTTTTTATTAATTTATAAATCACCTTCACTTAGTTTTGAATAGAGATATGTTATTGTTAATGAACCCTACAAATTTGGTATTAATAGTGCAAATATTTGTTGTTCATTTTTTTAGAGATATGGACATGCAGCAATGGATGTATCATTCGCCGAGGTTTTTGGCTCCATATAGGGATGAAGTGTCTAAATTTATTGGTATTGCGAAGGCACACGCTGAATAGTACAATATGAGGGAGATATACTTTGTCCATGTGCTGATTGTAAGAATAAAATAGCCTAGAAAGATGCTTCTACAGTGATGGAGCACTTAGTAACTCGCGGATTTATGGAGAAGTATGAAATATGGATACGTCATGGCGAAGAACAAGTGGACAGGCCTGAAAATGTAGTTCCGATAGAAGTTGAAGACATGGTATACGACGATGGTTGTGGTGAGGACAAAATTGATCTAGAGGAAATGTTACGTCATGCAGAACCCGATGTGCTGATTGGGTTGGCTAGAGGTTTAAATAACTTTGATGCTTTACAGAAGGCAGCTAAGGAAGTTTTGTACGATGAGTCAAAGGGCTGTGACAGTGAGTTC